AAACAATTGAGATACTAGTTTTTTTTTTCTTTTTTTTCTTCCAACATTTTTTTGACATGCTCTACCCTCGTTTCTATTAAAGTTATCAAGACCAAATTTGAACCACCGATAGACCTCATCATGAAGTATTACCAGATGACCCTGTTTTGGATTTCATCATCTCCTTTGGAAGTTATCTCCCTTTTATTGGGTTTTTTCAACATGGTCCCCCCTCGTTGTTTTTAAAGATATCATGATTTTATTTGTACTAAAGGTAGATCTCATCATGATGTATTACCATATGAGGCTGCGTAGGATTTCATCAACTCCTTTGAGAGTTGCATCCCCTTGAAGCAATTTCTTTTATTTGCATTTTTCTTAAAAAGTATAAGAGATAGAATCGAATTGAAAATTGCAGCATCTACAAGAACAAATGGCAATGTTAATAAACATAAACAATTAGTATGTTATCAACCCTTATACGGAGTTATTTCCCTTTAAAAATTTTACTCAATTTTATAAAAATTGTATTTCGAGAACCGGAAGTCGTAGAGACTTGGGACCTTCACCAATAATCTTTATTTCATGTGACCTTTAACTTCCACCCAAGGTCAAAGGTCACTGAGTGCAAAAAAAATTTACACTGCAATTTCAAGCTTACATATTAAGAAAACGATAAGAGTTTGCTGCATACATACTGTGTATATAATGTTCCTCTCGACGAGCTCTACATTTTATTCATTAAGCTCAAAACTGTCCGACCGTCTGTTCACAAGTTACGACGAGATAATTCTTAAAAGTACAGTACTGTGTGTATATCTTTTTAAAGGTAACAGATATCAACCTACTATAAATTGCAAAAATGATCAGTATTTTAAAACCTTCAATTTGAGGTCAATGTCAGGTCATGATGAAATTTTACCTTGACCTTCAAAGTGTACTATGACCGTGACCTCGTGACATTTGAAAGGTCAAGTAGTCCTGAGTTGAATGGTGGTAGTCTTATGTCTCTACGACTTCCGGTTCTCAAGTTTGGTATTGCATCATATATTTGATGATTCCTTGTGACCTTGATGAACTTTCGAATTGTCCAAATTTTTTCTGCAATGTTGCCCTTTAACTGCAGATCATTTATCATTTAACAAATTTGAGATATCTGTTGTCGTTTAAGAGATAATGCAGTTTAAAATTTTGCGAGCGGAGGCATGTACTTCTGAATCAACAACAGTTTACCACCTGAAATTTTCAGAAATAAAAGAATTCAACATTGTTATAATTTTGACAAAATACCAAAAACATTCAATGAAAAAAAAACAACCAAAAAATCAATTTGAAATTTTCATGTTTTGCATTTACTTTGTAAGTTTCATAAGTTCTATTTATATAATTGATATTGCATCATTTTTGGCACTTTGCCAAATGGGGTCATTTGATAAATCAAATTGAAGGTCTTAACGAGCTCTACTCAAAAGTGAAAATGTTAAACCCCTTTTTCATCCCAGGGGGAAGGCCGGGGTCATTTAGTACAAAAAATCAAACTTCTCAGATGATTAGGTTGTCGCATATCAAATGAAAGTCCATAAAGCGTACATTTTAAATATCAATTTGACGTCCCTAAAAAATGGGTTGGGTGGGGTCATTGAGTGCAAAAAATAAAATTTTCTTTTAAGGTAAGGTTGTTGTATTTCAAATGAAAGGTCGTAACGTGTACATTTCAAATATCAGATTCCTGTCATCAAAAAATGAGTTGGATGGGGTTATTAAGTGCAAAAATCAAACTTTTTAGAACATGGCGTTGTCGCATATCAAATGAAAGATCATCAAGTCTACATTACGTGTATCGTACTTCCGATCTCGAAAATTAAGGAGGATGGGGTCATTAAGTGTAAAAAGCGAAAAGTTTCAGAAGGTATGCTTGTCGTATATCAAATGAAAGGTCGTACAAAGTACATTACGAAAACATCACTTTAACAGGAAAGACCTTTCAATTGTTTTACAAACAATTGAGATACTAGTTTCTTTTTCTTTTTCTTTTTCTTTTTTTTTTTTTCTTTTTTTTCTTCCAACATTTTTTTGGGAATGCCCTCCCCCCGTTTCTGTTGAAGTTATCAAGACCAAATATGGGCCATCGATAGACCTCATCATGAAGTATTACCAGATGACCCTGTTAAGGATTTCATCATCCCCTGTAAAAGTTATCTCCCTTTTATTGGATTTTTTCGACATGGCCCCCACTCGTTGTTTGTAAAGATATCATGACCTTATTTGGACAATAGGTAGATCTCATCATGTTGTACTACCATATGAGGCTGCATAGGATTTCATCATCTTCTATGCGAGTTATATCCCCTTGAAGAAATTTCTTTCTTTTGCATTTTTCTCAAAAAGTATTAGGGATAGAATCGATTTGAAAACGGCAACATGTACAAGAACAGATGGCAATGTTAATGAACATATACAATAATTTTGTTATTGACCCTTATAAGGAGTTATTTCTCTTGAAAAAATATACACAATTTTTTAAAAATTGTATTTCGAGAACCGGAAGTCGTAGAGACTTGGGACCTTCACCAATAATCTTAAGTTCATGTGACCTTCAATTTGCACCCAATGTCAAAGGTCACAGAGTGCAAAAAAAATTTACGCTGCAATTTCAAGCTTGCATATTAAGAAAACGATAAGAGTTTGCTGCATACATACTGTGCATAAAATGTTCCTCTCGACGAGCTCTACATTTTATACATTAAGCTCAAAACTGTCCGACCGTCTGTTCAAAAGTTACGATGAGATGATTCCTAAAAGTATAGTATTGTGTGTATATCTTTTTAAAGGTAACAGATATCAACCTACTATAAATTGGAAAAATGATCAGTATTTTCAGACCTTCAATTTGAGGTCAATGTCAGGTCATGATGAAATTTAACCTTGACCTTCAAAGTGTAATATGACCTTGACCTTGTGATATTTGAAAGGTCAAGTGCTCCTGAGTTGAATGGTGGTAGTCCCATGTCTCTACGACTTCCGGTTCTCAAGTTTGGTATTGCATTATATATTTGATGATTCATTGTGACCTTGATGAACATCAGAATTGTCCAAAAATTTTTTCTGTAATGTTGTTCTTTTACTGTAAATCATTTTACTTTTAACAGATTTGAGATCACTGTTGTCGTTTTAGAGATAATGCACTTTGAAATTTTGCGAGCGGCGGCATTTATTTCTGAGTCAACAACAGGTAACCACCTGAAATTATCAGAAATTGAAGAGTTTAACATGGTTATATGTTTGACCAAAAAACAAAAACATTCAAAGAAAAAAAAACCCAAAAAATCAATTTGAAATTTTCATGTTTTGCATTGACTTTGTAAGTTTCATAAGTTCTATTTATACAATTGATATTGCATCATTTTTGGCACTTTGCCAAATGGGGTCATTTGATATATCAAATTGAAGGTCTTAATGAGCTCTACTCCAAAATGAAAATTCTAAACCCCTTTTTCATTCCAGTGGGAAGGGTGAGGTCATTTAGTGCAAAAAATTCAAACTTCTCAGATGGTTAGGTTGTCACATATCAAATGAAAGTCCATAAAGCGTACATTTCAAATATCAAATTGACGTCCCCAAAAAATGGGTTGGGTGGGGTCATTGAGTGCAGAAAATAAATTTTCTTCTAAGGTAAGGTTGTTGTATATGAAATGAAAGGTCATAATGTGTACATTTCAAATATCAAATTCCTGTCCTCCAAAAATGAGGTGTATGGGGTTATTAAGTGCAAAAATCAAACTTTCTAAATCATGGCGTTGTCGCATATCAAATGAAAGATCATCAAGTCTACATTACATATATCATACTTCCGATATCAAAAATGTAGTCAGATGGGGTCATTAAGTGTAAAAAGTGAAAATTTTCAGAAGGTATGCTTGTCGTATATCAAATGAAAGGTCTTAAAGAGTACATTACAAAAACATCACTTTTACAGGAAAGACCTTTCAATTGTTTTACAAACAATTGAGATACTAGTTTGAAATGGTATTACTCCAATTCTTTCCATAGGCAAGTAAGAGTCAGAATGATTATTAACTGTCATGATTTTCAAATAAGTATTAAATGAAACAACCCCAGGCTTAATTCAAAACAGTTAATATCTCATGACCTGTTACATAATTAAATAGGCACAATTTATTACACACCTAACTGAATACACGCATTCTTGACCTCATTAGTAAACCACAAATGTAATATTTATTTTGATCTACACTACATTAAAATATTCTGTTAATTTTGCTAGCTAGCTGAATGATTAATCTGATGTGTTTTTTTTTCAAAGAAAATACTTAAAATGAAAAAAAATATGTATAAAAAATGCAAGCAAATTTTATTTTACTTGTAAAATCAGTGCCATTATTATCTGACATAAGTCAATAATCAAGTTCTAAGTAAGATTGGAAATGAAGAGAGAAAAAATTTAGAAAAAAGTATGGTCAGAAAGAATATCAGACTAGCTATGAATATGGCTGGATCACAACATCAACGATGCTTTGATTTTTCTATATTTTCCATTCGTTTCCAATTTGTTAATCAAACTTTTTCATAACATTTGTTAAATGATTTGGTGTGTTAATATTGTTCTTTCAGAATCAATTAAAACTATCTAACTTCCATGTTTGTGTATTTTTTCTTTCATTACTGTTTTTCCCTCTTTGCACTGTGTGGTTGCCAATGTTCTAACAAGAGGTCTCATGGTTAAGGTAGCTGCATATCATTATGGAAAAGCAATTGGAGAATTAGAGCATGGGAAGACAATAATTCAATAGCTGTACATATCTAAAGATTTTGATCAGATTAAGGACTCTCTTTTGAAAGAAAGTACACATGTTTTATAGTAAATCTTAGCCTTTCAAGTATATAAATCATATTCAACTTTAAAAAAAAAATTGAAGTATCATATGACTTTAAAGTTTTCAGTTATTAAAAATGGACTTAATTAATTTTTGAAATACATGACACTTGCTATTGTATTTCAGAAGATTGTCTCCATACAGTCACAGTTAGCACTGCTACACTTACTACCACTGGTAAGTAGGTCTCTCCTTGAAAATAGGTTATTGGGTACACACGGATCATTTGTAAATATTAAACACCTTTAGTTTCATTATCAGTCATTCTATATCAGTGGATACAGGAAAAAGTACTTTTACATTGAACTTAATCATAGTCTGAGTGGGTGGGGTTATTTGAATAAACCCAAGTCAATTTCCTATCTTACACTGTAGTTTCTTTGTAATTAATGTTTAATTATACATGTATTTCACTATAGAATTATACCTCAGAGACTATTTATTTGAACTGAATACTTTATGATATACTTTTGGTGTTGAAACAGATATTATTGTTATGGAAAATCTATCAAACATTGGATACTTTGATAAATAGCAATTTTAGTACTATCAAATTAAACCAATGCATCTGTAACAGTATGACCTATACTCAACTTATGATGTATGATGTAATTGTATTAATTTTGTCATACACATCTATCTAATAAATTAGCTAAATATTCAAATTTCATTAAAACCTATATTTTTGTGGTAAACCCATAACTAAAGATAAAAAATTGGCTTTTAGTATCTCACATGCTGAAATCAATGTTTTTCTTTTTCAAATGTTAGAATTTTCTTTTGAGGAAGTGTCCATAGAACACTGTTCCTTGCTTACACTATCAAATTTCCATGTGATTTCTCAGTGATATACATATTTGAAAAGTTCACATCATACTGCACATGTGTATGTTGTACTCAGCTTCAAATTGAGACTACAACTTCCATGGTAAACTACCATAAACTAAAAATTTAAACTAAATGGGAATGTACAGACCTGAAAACATAATGCCCTTTCTTTTGTAGAAGAGAATAAAAAGAGCTATTTGAGGAGATAATAAAAAACTGAAACTTAAGATGATAATAAGTTGTTTTATTTAGTTAACAAAATGAGGATGTATTAATATTTCATTGTCAGGTTATAATGAATTATTGAAGATAGAGTACTAAGATTTATTGACATTTTAAATCCATTCTTTGTTACTGTAACTTGGGTAAACAAAACTGATTTATTTGTAATTAAATTGACACAAACCATTACTAGACATTGTTTAACTCTAATCTGCCTGAAGCAGTGAGTGTGAACTATTGTTAGTGTAAGCGTACTTTCATTCCGCCGTGTATTTATTCCGGGTAACTGTTTTTCACTAGAGAATATTGGATGTAAATAGTGTGAAAGCGTCGATCTTGATATTGTTGTTTTGTTTATATTAGACCGGTTTATTGTTTACATAAATAAATGGGTTAAAATTAAAATAATTTTCAAGGAACCAGTTTAATTAATCTGAGTCAATCTAGTAAATAATATTGATAATGACGAGGAGGATATTTTTATAACTCAAAATACTTTATCAATGATCAGGACATTGAAGTTGATATAAACCAAATTTAAAGATTTGTTCTTACATAAAGTTTCAATTATAGAAGCATCCTTTGATATTGACAAAGAAGATATGATTTTATATCCAAGTCGACCGAAGAGCAAATACACAGAAAAACGGCAGTCCAATAAATATAAATATTACAATTATTGACAATTTAAAAGCATATGATTTTATAGATTTGCATAGAAAAATTATTTAAATCTTATTCGTTAATAAGCATTATTGTGTTATCGTGTGTTCAAAATGAGTACTAATCACTTCATCAATGTATGGATCTAAAGCACTAGTATAATTAATCCCGGTATAAAATAACTAGTGCAATCATTTCGGTACAAAATCACTAGTGTAATCATTCCTGGTTCAAAAACACTAGTGTGAAAATTCCTTGGATGAAAACTCTCCACTTTTTATATAGATCAGCTATGCAAGTTTCAAATACACTAAAAACTATTAAGCCATATTTTATATATATTTCCCCTTCAAAAAACCCTTTTAGAACCTTATAATGACTGGTGGATGTTTTACACTGGACCCGGATAGAAAAACCTAGTGAATTTTTGTTGGTGGATACAAATCACTGGGGATTTGCTTCCTCCGGATAAAGTACACTGGCGGAATCAAACCACTGTTACATTAGCACTTGGTGTTAGACTGTCTGTCTTTGTTGTTGTCAATCTTTATCCACCTGTACACTTTTTTCTCAAAAATATTTTCCTCTGAACCTGGCATATTATATCCAAACTTTTTGTCTTGTTTCAAATGTATATCATATAGTTGACATAGTTTTGACTTAATTTCAGCCATGGGACATTGACAAAGAAAGCAACAATGGTCTGCTTTATTTTCAGCCTTCACAACATGTAAGGAGGTGATTCTTTGTAACTGCCATGTCTATAATCAAACAGTTTCAGGTCTTTATAAGTGTCAGTTATTGTTTTTTAAGCTTTAATCTCTGTTAACATGTTAGGCTGTTTGCAGGAACGCCTATCCAATGCATCTTAGAGGGGATTTTCTTGTATTTTGCAAACTCAAATGGTAGCAAATTTCTTATATTTTTCTGAGTGTTTATTTTCAGGTATCTCATTTTGTCATACCAAATGACTTAGTTCGGGTTTTAACTGTCAATTTTTTTCCTGAATAAGGTACAAGAAGCTGTTTTTATACGACCGTGGTATATTGGTATGACGTTGGCGTTGTCGTCTTCATCACGAGACACATTGGTTTTCGCACAATAACTTTAGTTTAAGTGAATGGATCTCTCTGAAATTTTACCATAAGGTTCAATACCACAAAAGGAAGGTTGGGATTGATTTTGGGGGTTATGGTACCAACAGTTAAGGAATGAGGGGCCAAAAAGGGGCCAAAAATAAGCATTTTTGTAACTTCCAGACAATAACTTTAAGTTTTAAGTGTATGGATCTCTCTGAAATTATACCACAAGTTTCCATACCACAAAGGGATGGTTAGGATTGGCTTTGGGGGGTTATGGCTCAAACCGTTTAGAATTAGGGGCAAAAAAGGGGAAAAACAAGGGTTTCCTGGTTAATGGACAATTTAAAAGCAGTGTAAGGGAGGTATTCCAAAAACAAAATTGTAATGTTGTACAATATTGGATTACCTCCCTTACACTGCTTTTAAATTATCTATTTAAGACTTTTATGATGTATTAAATTGGTAATTATGGTTGCAAACTCCATTGGAAATTTAAATTGAGATTATGACCATATCTTGAGGGAAAGCATTTTTTTTTTTGGAAAGGGGGGGAGGGGGTAAAAAAGATTTTTTTTTTTTTGGGGGGGGGGGTCAATACACAACAGCATAGTGTATTTCACTAAAGCAAAGAAAAAAGGGGGGTAAATTTTTTTTTTGTTTTGGGGGGGGGGGGGGGGGGGGGTCAATTCGCAACAGCATAGTGTATTGCACAAAAGCAAAAAATTGAATATAAATTCAAATCATATAACCAATTCTAAGTTCTTTGACTACAGTTATTCGGTGTCAGAAACCTATTATGTGTCAAATATTTAATTACAATTCAAATTCAGACCTGTATCAAGCTTGAATATTGTGTCCATTTTTGCCCCAACTGTTCAGGGTTGGACCTCTGCGGTCGTATCCAGCTGCGCTCGGCGAAGCAGTTTATTAAAATCTGAAAGAAATATCAGACTATATATTGTACATAGAGATATCTAAGGGATACAGGCTCTATCAAGCCCCTGGATTGTTAGAGAAATTTATTTAGCTTTATTTATTAAAAAAAATCATGTATATTTAAATAATAAAAAAAAATAGACCTGCAAGGGAAATTATGAGATAAAAAGATTTGATGTTTGTCTCTGACATGATGGATGGTCCAAAAGTTTAAACTAAGACAATTTTGACCTCCTTGTAACTGCTACAACTATAGAAAGTATTAAGAAGATGGTACTTGTCCTAGTAGTCAAACAAAGGATTTTTTTAAATGATCTAAATTCGATCGCATTAACAATCAATCAAAGTTGTATATGTTAATAACTGATTTCCTTGTAGACTGTTGTGTACTGGTGCTCTGTTATTGCTGGCTGATTCGGTTTTTTATGCCCTGTTTATGATAAAAGAAAGACATTTTGTTTTCCACTCTGTTCGTTTTTTTTTTTATCGTCTTTTTGTCTGTTTGTCCATCCCATATCAGGTTAAAGTTTCTAATCAAGGTAGTTGACAGATTGTTTTTTCTGAATATGTTAGGTTACACAGAACAATTTATGCTAAACATCTGACATTTGGAATATAAAAGGGCTTACACTCCAATGAAATACATTTACAAATGTTAACTGCTTAGTTTTCTGGTCCTGTGAGTGGTATTGTTTTGTTAGTTTTGAAAAATGATTGTTTCAATCCTACTTTTTAAGCTTAGTCACTGCCCTCAAGGAACTAAACTTATGTATAATATTGTCCTTTAACCAGTGGTACATTGTTCTGTTAATCTGGTTGCTAGTAAGATTAATTCTGTAAAATATTACAACATGTTTCAGTGTTTAAATTTCTATTGAACACTGTTTATCTCTGCAGTTTAAACCTATGAATTAAAGATAAAAAATTTTAAAAAGTGTTTTTTGCAGAATGCACTCAAGTTCTAAATAGCTAAAGGTATTCTGGCTATTAAATCGTCTCACTGGTATATCTGAATAATAAACAAATCTTTAGTAAAATGCCAAAACTCTCCTCTTCTAATCATAAAGATTAACAGAGTACATTATTCAAAGTACAAATAGAAGAATATGACACGCAACATTTATAAAGTGTAATTATTTCCCTGCAAACAAAGTTTGAGGGATATATAGGAATCACCTTGTCTGTCTGTCTCTCTGTCCTTACATATGTCCTTCTTTGTGTCCTTGGCATAACTGATTACCATAGAACTAAGGTTGACTAAACTTGTAATGCAGATGCATCATGGGAAAGTGGTGTGTATCCACCAAAATCAGGTGACTGTGACCTTGAATTTGACCCAATGATATTAAAACCTTGTCTGATTTGTTTCCGGGGCAGAACTGTTGTACTGTAGAACTTAAGTTAATCAAACTTGATATGCAGATACATATTGGAAAGATGGTGTGTCACATACCAAAATCAGGTGACTGTGACCTTGAATTTTACCCTATGATATTAAAACCTTGTCTGATTTGTTTCCGGGGCAGAACTGTTGTACTGTAGAACTTAAGTTAATCAAACTTGATATGCAGATACATATTGGGAAGATGGTGTGTCACATACCAAAATCAGGTCACTGACCTTTATTTAGACCTTTGACCCCTTATTGTCCAGGGCATAACTGTTGAACTGTTGAACTTAGAATGTGGAGACATCATGGATAGGTGTTGTGTTGCATACCAAGATCCGGTCACTCTGACCTTAGCTTTGACACTATTTACTGTATATATCATGATTTTGTATATATTTATTTACCTAGAAATTTTTAAGATACATTTGTACTAGGGTTCCCACTAAATCAGACATAGTTTACTGTATGTAGATTTGGCTTTTCTTTTTAAGTTCTGTTGAGTCATAAAGCTCTTCAAGTACTGTAATAAAATATTTATACATCCTTAGCTTTCAAATTTTTGGGGTTTGCCATTTCTGATGAAGGTCAGTCCAAAAGAGCTCTTTGGATGCAGGAAACAAGAATATATCATTGAATATATATATACACAAAAATTTGTATGTTCATATTTTATCATAGGTTTGGAAAGTAAATTGATTATTTGCACTGTTACATCAAAATATGGTGTTGATGTCTGGATTATGCTTGTTTTTTTTCAGTACTTTATTACAGAAGGTGTAATACCACCAATCATAGTATGTCACATCCGGTTTCATACGAAAAAGGGTAAAAAAAAAATATTCCCTTGAATTTGACAGTTGTAGGATTCTAACACTGCATTTCATTGCAGAAAAAAAATTCTGAGTCATAAACATATATCTTGGGTGTTTCAAAGCATCATTCTTTTTTTATTCAGTGTTTCTATAAAGTATTTTGGAAACTTGAGGTAACATGGTTACTAAAGCTTGTAAACAAGGGGTGAAAATTTAATTGGTTAACTTCCAGTGATGGTTATTATCTTAGATGCAATGAAATGTTATGTGAAATTTTGTCTGTAGTACTGGACAAGATAAAACTTTAATCATGTCAAGTGTTCCTTTATTTGAAACAAGATAAATTCTGCACAATTTTTAGAAAAGTGCCAATTTAACAAAGACTAATAGGAGAAACAATGGTGGTATTACTCCAGAAATGTGTTGACCTCCAGGTGTCAATTACATGTTTATATATAAACTTAAGTTTTCCTCTTGTTACAGAAAAAACTACCAGATCTTCCACTGAAAACATTGTAGCAGTTGTCACACAGAAATATCCGCAACTAGTCACTGGAATCATTTCTACTTATACAACTTTTGACAGTCCTGTCTTCAATGTGACAAAATCTCCCCAATCATTATTTTGTAAGAACTGAATTGTTTTTTGAATGGTTATGAGAGTTTGGCTGTTGGTTTGAAACAATGCTCTTATTTGATTCACTTGGTTCTTTCAAATGTCTTTCAGACTGTTGAAATATGACTCTTGTAAAATCTGAAAAATTAGCCTTTTTTTATTTTTTAAATTTGACATTTTGTTGGCTATATGAGACAGATGAAATTAACCAGGTGAATATGAAGAAGGCTTTTCTAATTTCACAAAATCTTTCCTTACATAAATCTTAATCTCCTGTGATTTGCTTATACTTATCTACTAATTATTGTGATTTTTTTTTCTTTCAATTTGGTCTAGGTAGAATGTTTCAGAGATATTTTGCATGACTAACCTATACAAATTGAATGCAGTAATGTAATATGATTAAACCAAGAAAGAGATTAGGATGTCCCATTTTTTTGAAAAGTTTATTGCATTTAGATTTACTAAATATTGAAGAGAAATGATGAATTCATGACTGAACATTTGAATAGAAATTTCCATGAGCATGATGAAAGGATCTTGAATATGAAATCGATAAGACAGAGCTCTTAAGAGTTAAAATTGTTATTTGTATTATGTATTTTTTTTTGTGTTAGATGTCACAGATATACAGTTGAACTGTTAAAATGAAGTTGGGAATACTAAATTGAGAAATGTACAATCTTATCTTTGAATAAAACTTTACTAAGAGCATGACTTCCAATCTTAAAATAAAACACTCATAAGCAAAATTTCATGTCTAATTAGCCATAGGAAAACACAAATTAACTGCCTATGTTTAACTGACATTTTAAGTGATAAATCATGTATCTTCAGTCCATCAATTTAGTTTTAAAAATGTTTTTACGTAGATTCATAAAAACTAGAATTATTTATTCTGTTTATTTTAACTATAAGCATTAATTTAATTGTGTTTACTTTTGTTTCTCAGTAATTGTTATAACTGTTGAAATTATTTAAATGCTGAGTGTTCTGATTTTCTATCCATTTCTTTGTTTATCTACGTAATCAACTCCATATAGAATGTATATAAAAGTTTCTCCTCAATCTATCTGTCTCAAGCTATAATGCAAAGTTATCTGAAAATTTAGTTATTGGGGTTTTCAATGGATATATAAGATGGATTAATATTTTCAAGAAGAAACAAACATGGATTCAGGTTAGCATTTAGTGAATTAACATTTGCAGATTCGTTAATATTCAAAGATTTTAATCTTATAGTATATTATCGTAAATACATTTTTTTTAAACAATTCTCTCACAATTGCATTGGAATTGATTTTGTAGTAATATAGTCATACATTTACTCTTCATGAATATTTGTAGTTTGCCTGAATGACATTTACAGGACAACATATTTGTTTGAACTAATGATGTGATCATTTGCTCCCAACTCTCATTACAGATGCAGGATTCCCTGCCTGGTTAATTGGTGTGATTGTTGTAGCTGTTCTTGCCATCATCATCGTTGTTGTAATCATTGTAGCTTGTATCATCAAAAAAGCAAAAGGAGAGAGGTAAGTACAGATCAATAGTTCACAGGTTAATAATTGCAGATAAAAAGTATGTCCACATTATTCTTGTCTGACAAACCGAGCTTAATCTTTCTACCATAAAATCCTTCAGTAAATTAATGAAATTATCATCTGCTGTACATATCATTTTAGCAGTTGTTTGATATTACTGAACATGTTATAGTTGATCCAGTTTTTCACAGCAGTTTTATGTGACAGGTTCCTGTGAAAACGTTTATACCATATCTCTTTCATTTCTAAAGCAAATTTTATTTGATACATATCTATATGAATTGAATAAGCAGAATGGTATGTTGAAGGCTTTGGACCTTTCTATTACAATTTTCTAGGTATGTTTTGTATAAAATTGATGACAAAACTTGTTCCTCTTCCATGTTGTTTATTTCCCTTCCTTTGATGGTGATGTTCTGTTTGCTCCTTCTTTGAATAGAAAGTTTATTCAGGCTGAATAAGATTTTGGATACTGAAAGTGCAATAGTGAAAGTAAAAGCAAAAAATGAAACTGAAACTATAGTAGTAGAAGTATAGTGGTAAAATAGAAAGTTAAATCTCAGAGGAAAAATGTATCGTATCTTTGTTATTTCTCATACATTTTGTAGGGCATTAGCATAACATTACCTAAGGGGGTACAGTTTCTCCTTTGAAGGATTTTTTTCAAATTGAAAATTTAAAAAAAAATTTAAATGTGATAGTGGTTTGGTTGAAGTAACACTCTGGACTCAAATACCTGACTGCTGATAATGTTCAATCATTTGTCAGACTTATGTATTCTGATATATGATAAAATAAATGCTTACTGGAAAAGACAAATCAGCTCACAGAGAAAATGAAATCCTTGAATTTACATGTATATAGTACAGTAGTGTTTATGCCTCTAAATGATTAAGTTGAAAGAAACTTACAAAAGAAAACATTTTTTAAATTGTTGCATTGATAATTTAATTCACATTTTTAGATGTCTGCTCAATCTGAGGAAAGTTTTTTCCATCCAATTTTTAACAGAAAAAAGGTAATTCTGTTATGTTTTAAAGTAGCTTCTTGTGTTAATTATGTAAAGTGTATATGTCTGGTTTATCTCAAATTAAAAAACGTGTTTTGTGCATTATGGGTTTGCATGGTTGTGTAACTGTGTTCTAATGGCATGACCTTGAAAATAAAAAGGAAATGAAACTGTATATAATATGTGATTTCTTAAGTGTCCTTTTTACATTATTTAAATCTTTAAATAATATAATTAGCTTATTTCATCAATTTGAACTGAAAGGTACTTCCTGTATATATGGATATTTTTTTTTATCAGGCACCTGGAATAGTTTTACATTTTTTTTGCTTTACAGCTAGGCAATATATAAATGTAAATTAGACATGTTGGTATTTTTGTATTATGAAATGGTATAGATTAAATAGATTTCTTATGTATGCATTGTATTGATTTGTATTTTTATTTTCAATTTTTTGTCCTTATATTATATGAAAATAGAAAAAATGTGTCAACTTTTTATATGTTAGCATTTTCTTCTTTCATGATGCTTCTGAAAAGATTTTGACATTTAGATGAAAAGAAATTATAAATTCATATATTAATGATATTCTTAGTAAAATGTTATGTTGTACAAGCTTATAAAAGCATTTATTATTCCTGAAGGGATGATATTCACCTATATTTTTGCAAATTGCCTTTATTGTATGGATTTTTTGTCTTGCCTGCAACAAAAGTTGCAGAAAGCAAGCGAGACATAGGGATTGCTTTTCCGGAGACATTGACGGTGACAGCTCCGGCGTCAACAATTGTTATGTTTTTTGCTTAAGTTAGTTTGATAGGAACTATTGTGATAGATCATTGATATTTAATATAAAGTTGCATTACTATCAGTACATATCAGTTTGACGACTATTTTGAGGCCCTGCTCCTTAGGACATGGTCCAGTGACTGAATCAATTAGCAATTTTCAATGTTAAGTTTTCTGCTTAAGTTAGTTTAATAGGATCTACTTGTGATAGATCAATGATATTTTGTACGAAGTTGCATTACTTTCAGTTCATATCAGTTTGATAACTATTTCGAGGCCCTGCCCCTAGGTAATGGTCCAGTGAATGAATTAATTAGCAATTTTCAATGCTAAGTTTTTCTGCTTAAGTCAGTTTGATAAGAACTACTTGTGATAGATCAATGATATTTTTGTATAAAGTTACATTACTATCAGTACATATCAGTTTAACGACTATTTGAGGCCCTACTCCCTAAGTCATGGTCCAGTGACTTTGAATTGATTAGCAATTTTCTATGTTAAGTTTTTCTGCATAAGTTATATTGATAGGAGCTACTTACAATAAACAACGATGTTTTCTATAGAGTTACATTTACTGTCTGTACATCACAGTTTGTAGACCATTTCAGGCCCTGCCCACTAGATCATGGTCCAGTGACTGAATTAATTAGCAATGTTGCTGTCCATCAGATTGTATTTTTCTGAATTTTATGCCGACAGGCGAGACATATCTTTGTGTCAACAGTTTATTTTTAATGGTAAGAATGCCATGTTAGTGAACATCCCAGAAAGAAGTACATATTTAACACAAAATAGTTACTACCCATGGCTGTAATTAAACATAAGAGAGCAATTGGGCCATGAATTAGTGGTTTTATGCTTTCAGTTCTTTCAATATTTTACACTGTTTTATGGAAAACTTATGTCTTAAGATATGAACAGATATGAAATTTTCGTCACATTTTTCTCAGTAATTACAAGTCTTAAATACTGTAGAAATTATTGGGTGCAATTATTATTACAATTTCAGAAGAAAGGTCAAAAATGCATGATTTATTTTTGTGATTTCAAGAAAATCTGCATACAAATATATGTATTAGACAGTAGAATGCATGTTCTGATTATTGCGACACTCACCCAGTCGCATTATTCGTATTAATTAAAACCTCGCAATAATTTCTGAATTTTCAGTACTTGATCTATGGCACCAAGTTTCACCTAGTTATGTCATAATATAACACAATTTCAGTTTCTAAGATATTCTACTTCCTGTTTGCTATAAGTGAGTCAATAGCTCTTGCTAAGTCAGACAAAATTTTAAAGAAAGCAAGGTTACTAATTCTCATTTTGATAAGTTAGCTGTAACTTGTATCTTGATAATAAAATTGAGAATGGAAATGGAGAATGTGTCAAATAGACAACAACCTGACCAAAGAGCAGGTAAACAAATCGAAATCGCAAATTTATCAAAATTAAAGAAAGCTGAAAAGTTACTATTATAATATGAGAAAAAAAAGTATACTTATCTTGACTGCATTAAAGAGAGAGCACATTAAAAAGCAATAAAAAGAGAGAAACATGATTAAAAAGTTACACTTATTACAATGAAAAACATATTGTTTGTACTGTAGTTCATCATTGAAGACAGTCAAGATGAAAACACAGCATTATTACAATTTGTCTTTGCTTTATTGTGTATTTCTTAGTATTTAATTTCATTGTTAAATGTCTTCCTAAAGCACTCAGTTTCTGATTTCAGATCAAATAAAATTAATCCAAAATGTAAGCTAATAAACTTGTGTCTTTTTACACACTTATACCCTAATATAAGCCAGCTAGTCAGTATATTTGAAATGCCTTGTTATAAGACAAGAAATGCTTTATAGTCGGAATGTTTATAGTTATTGTATATAATGCCACAATAATTGCATATTTTGAAGAAAATGCTTACTGAATGTTCAATCACATACAGACATGAGAAAATCACTTAATGCATTATTATATAGTATAGTTTCCATAAAGTTTAAAAATGGTTTATTATATTATTTGACATAATGGTCAGTGTGAGCCTTTGTTATCACTTTACATCTGTTGTTACCTCTTACTTTCCAATAACTTAAAATAAACCCAAAAAAAACTGGTATTTTAAATATTTATATTCTTTTGCTAACAAAATGATAATCTAGATGGCACATGTTGAGAACGTCTTGCAAAAAAGATGTCAACCTTGCATTTTAACAATATTTAATCGAATGAATCTATTTACTATATCCGTAATTAGGATATTCTTATCTCAGTGATTAGGACCCTCCCCTCCACCCCAAAAAAAATTTAAATCCAGCTTTCTAAGATACCAACAGTGAAGATAATTGAAGTTTGAAGGTCTAATTTTTATACGAACGCAATAATTAAAAATTTTTTGGTCGTATATTGGTATGACGTTGGCGTCGTCGTCGTCGTCGTCCGAAGACTCATTGGTTTTCGCACCCTAACTTTAGTTTAAGTGAATGGATCTCCATGAAATTTTACCATAAGGTTCAATACCACAAAAGGAAGATTGGGATTGATTTTGGGGGTTATGGTACCAACAGTTAAGGAATTAGGGGCCAAAAATAAGCATTTTTGTAACTTCCAGACAATAACTTGTGTGTAAGTGTATGGATCTCTCTGACATTGTACCACAAGGTTCCATATCACAAAGGGAAGACTGTAATTGATTTTGGGGGTAATTACCTCAAAATTTTAGGAATTAAGGGCCAAAAAAGGGGCAAAAAACAAGCATTTTTCTAGTTTCATGACAATAACTTGTGTGTAAGTGTTTGGATATTTCTGAAATTGTACTACAAGGTTCCATATCACAAAGGGAAAGCTGGAATTGAGTTTGGGGGTAATTGCCCGAAACGTTTAGGAATTGGGGGCCAAAAAGGGGCAAAAAATAAGCATTTTTCTAGTTTCCAGACAATAACTTGTGTTTAAGTGTATGGATCTCTCTGAAATTGTACTGCAAGGTACCATACCACAAAGGGAAGGCTGGGATTGATGATGGGGGTAATTGCCTCAATATTTTAGGAATTAGGGGCCAAAAAGGGACAAAAAACAAGCATTTTTCTAGTTTCAGGACAATAACTTGTGTGTAAGTGTATGGATCTTTCTGAAATTGTACTACAAGGTTCCATATCACAAAGGGAAAGCTGGGTTTGAGTTTGGGGGTAATTGAATCATAAGGGGGTTCAAAAAATTTGGGGCGGGGGGTTTCTTTTTTTTTCTTTTAAAATTTTCCATTTTAAGTTGGTTATTTCTGATTTATATTTAAAAGCAAATAATAATGATATGGTAGGAGATACACACCAAACAGGATGTGTAAATTATTATATAATAAGTATTGTGCAATAGCAAGAAATTTTCAATTGCACAGTATTGCACAATAGCAAGAAATCTTCAATTGCACAGTATTGCGCAATAGCAAGAAATCTTCAATTGCACAGTATTGCGCAATAGCAAGAAATATCCAATAGCACAATATTGCGCAATAGCAAAAATTGTCAATTGTACAGTATTGCGCAATAGCAAGAAATATTCAATTGCACAGTATTGTGCAAAAGAAGATACTTCGTATAAATTGCTTATTTCTTGACCAATTTCAATGGGGTATTATTCTTGAATTCTTGGGGTTCTTTAATATGCTGAATCTAACCGTGTATTAAGTTTTTGGATTTTGGGCCCCGTTTTTAAATTGGTCCACATTGAGGTCCAAAGGGTCCAAAATTTAACTTTGTTTGATTTCAACAAAAATTGAATATATGGGGTTCTTTTATATGCTGAATCTAACCATATATTTAGATTTTTGATTTTTGGGCCCCGTTATCAACTTTGTCCACATTGAGGTCAAAAGGGTCCAAAATTAAACTTAGTTTGATTTCATCAAAAATTGAATTCTTAGGGTTCTTTGATATGCTGAATCTAACCATGTATTTAGATTTTGGATATTGGACCATAATAGGTGAATGTCCAATTTAAAATTTTTAAGTTCTTAGACCACATTCATTCTCTGTCAGAAACCTATGCTGTGTCAAATATTTAATCACAATCCAAATTCAGAGCTGTATCAAGCTTGAATGTTGTGTCCATACTTGCCCCAACTGTTCAGGGTTCGACCTCTGCGGTCGTATCAAGCTGCGCCCTGCGGAGCATTTTATTTTTTATAGTTTCGTTGGATGATTTAATTATATATTGCTTACATGGGTGAATATGTTAATAATTTGAATTCTTAATTAGAATTTTATTTTAATTGTCCTGTGCTCAATAGAAATATGTGTTTTTTTTAAGCTTATATTTTACATTAAATAATAGAATATCACTATTTTTTTTGTTGTTGCTATAATTCTATAAATTTTAGTTATGACATGAATGATTTACTATCACTTGCACATATATAGTATATACCTCATGTAATACCTGTTTATATAAATGTTGATGTACAGATTATATTCCATTTTATATATTTTAGACTCCAAATAAAGAGGTAACTATAGCTTGCACCTGTCTTGCACTGCAGCTTGTCATATATAAACAATTGTATAATGTATATACAATCCTTGTGTGATGTCCTGCCAACGCTTATATTTAACATCAGCATTTTTAACATCAGCATATACACAAATTGCACTGTATCATATATCTAAACAACTCCAGACAGTTTCTATCAAGCTTACTCTAGTATGATGTGTTTTAGTTTGCTAATCCAAAAGTATTTGCCCTTTCATAACACTAGGCCAAACTGTCATCTAAAACAGGTGTAATGTAATGAAAATATTCTTACCATTCAATTCTGTAGGCTCCAGCTGGACTCCGCCTCTAGATGCGGGATTTTATCACTGCATTAAAGACCTATTGGTGGCCTTGAACTGTTTTATACTCTTTGGTAGGGTTGTCTCTTTGACACATTTCCTGTTTCCATTCTCAATTCTAATGATTGGCTAACTGTTTCATAAGAAGTTCAGGAAAACAGTGCACCTAACTATTGAGATTTTATTTCTCCAGTATTTACTGAAATAGTGATATGGATGAGAGTTGCCATAAATTTACACGGAATTTAAAGAGCATAATTATGGTTATCACCCTTTCATATCGTGTATTCAACATTTAAAACATTTTTGATAGAATTTAAAGTCTTTTAACAAACACAGGTGTATGATTTCAGAATACAAAACAATAGTTTAATATCCACTTAAACAATTTTTAGAACAGATAAATTATAAGATCTGATTAAAGGTTTTCCTGTTGATGTCACATTTTGTTCACTTTTGTGTTCAATAGTGTGCCTGATTCTCCAAATTTCTTATAAAACAGAAGTCGTTCATTGGATAGTACTCTTCACATGCTTCTTAGTACTTACTATTAACAACCTTTTGTCTTTCAATGGATTTAAATATTTGACCAGTTAGTCAGTTTGTAGAAATGAATTCATTTAAATAACTTGTAAAAGTGTTTTGGCACAATGAGATTCTGAAAAGGTCATCAACTTGCATCAAACTGACAACATAGTGGTTTACTGAGATTAACTGTTTATGGTACATCTACATCGTTAACACTGCTGTTTACTACTTATGATATCAATGTTAACCATTATAATACTGTAGTGTATTGTCTATCCAAAGGAATTGCAAGTAAAACCATTCTTCAACTGCTGTGTATTGTTGATTCAATAAATAGCAAGTTAAACCATTCTTATACTGTAGTGTATTTATTGCAAGTTAAACCACTCTCATACTGTAGTGTATTTATTGCAAGTTAAACCATTCTTACACTATACTGTATTGCAAGTTAAACCATTCTTACACTATCCTGCTTTACAATTAAACCATTCTCACACTATACTGTATTGCAAGTTTAACCATTCTTTCCCTGTAGTATATTGCAATTTAAACCATTTTACACCGAAGTGTTTTCAAGCTAAACAATTCTTACACTGAAGTGTTTTGCAAATTAAACAACTTTTACACTGTAGTGTATGCAAGTCCAACCATTCTTACACTATATATTTTTCTGATTTCTACAGTTTGTTCTAATATTGTGCTCTTTCACCACTGTCCCAGGTTAGGGAGGGTTGAATGCTTAAAAGCATGTTTAACCCAGCCACATTCTATGTGTGCCTACCCCAAGTCAGGAACCTTAAATTCAGTGGTTGTTGTTGGTTGCTGTCTGTCATATTTGTTTTTCATTTGTTGTTTTGTAATAAATCAGGCTGTTGGTTTCTCTATTTGAATTGTTTCACATTTTTTCATGTCAGGACCTTTCATAGCTGACCATTTCTTTTTGGTTTTGCTCATTATTGATGGTGGTATGGTTGAACAATTCTTATACTGTTATTAACTACTTAACCAAAGAATTGTAAGTTAAACCATTCTTACACTGTAGTGTTTTGCTGATTTAAATAGTTGCAAGTTGAGTCATTCTTACACTGTGTTTTATTGTTTATCCAAGGAATTACAAGTTTACCATTCTTTGCACTGTACTGCTTATCCAAGGAATTGCAACGTCAACCATTCTTTTTATGTCCTATTTGGTCATAATGGTCCTCAAGTATTTATACGTCCTTGGCTTTTAACTTTTTGAGTTTGAGCGTTTGTTGTGAAAATGAATCCAGAAAATGGCTTATGATGCAACAATTTTAAAAGTGTTATTTTTATTTTACACTGTTCTTATCCAAAGAATTGCAAGTTAACCCATTCTTACACTGTATTTTACTACTAATAGAAGGAATTCAATGTTAAAACATTCTCACACTGTATTTTACTACTTATGCAAGGGATTGCAACTTAAACATTCTGACACTGCACTGCATAGGTTCAGGTTAAACCATTGTAACTCTATCCATACTGGTTAATTAAGGAATTACAAGTTAAACTATTCTTACTCTGTACTTCAATACTTTACTTCTTATCCAAGGGAATTACAATTTAAACCATTTTGGTCTCACCTGTGACGAAAGTCGCGGAGATCAAGACATAGGGGTTGCTTTTCCTGCAATTGCTGCGGCGACGGTGTCAACAATTGTTAAGTTTTCTGATTAAGTTAGTTTGATAGGAACTACTTGTGATAGATCATTGATATTTAATATTAAGTTGCATAACAATCAGTACATATCAATTTGACGACTATTTTGAGGCCCTGGGTCATGGTCCAGTGACTTTGCATTAATTAGCAAGTTTCAATGTTTAGTTTTCTGCTTAAGTTATTTTGATAGGAACTACTTGTGATAGATCATTTATATTCAATATAAAGTTGCATTACCATTGGTACATGTATATCAGTTTGACCACTATTTTTAGGCCCTGTCCCATAGGTCAGGGTCCAGTGACTTTAAATTAATTAGCAAATTTCAATGTTAAGTTTTCTACTTAAGTTAGTTTGATAGGATCTACTTGTGATAGATCAATTATATTTTGTATGAAGTCACATTACTATCTGTACATATCAGTTTGACGACTATTTTGAGGCCCTGCCCCCTAGGTCATGGTCCAGTAACTTTGAATTAATTAGCAAGTTTCAAGTTTCAATGTTAAGTTATTTTGATAGGATCTACTTGTGATAGATCAATGATATTTTGGATGAAGTTGCATTACTATCAGTTCATATCAGTTTGACAACTATTTCGAGGCCCTGCCCTCTAGGTCATGGTCCTGTGACTGAATTAATTAACCATGTTGCTGTCCATCAGATTGTATTTTTCTGAATTGTATGCCGACAGGCCAGATATATCTCTGTTTCAACAGTTTATTATGCTGTAGACTAACTTCACTACTTATTTGAGGAATTGCAAGGTAAGCAATTCTTACACTGTTCCTTATTGCTTATCCAAAGAATTGTAGGCAAATCCATTCTTACACCTATCCTTATTGCTTATCAGAGGAATTGCAGGGAAAGCCATTCTTACACTTCCTTTAATAAAACTTATCTAAGGAATTGCAGGCAAATCCATTCTTACACCTATCCTTATTGCTTATCCTAGGAAATGCAGGGATACCATTCTTACTCTGTGCCTTATTGCTTATCCAAGGAATTACAGGCAAATCCATTATTACAATGTTCCCTTTTGCTTACCAAAGGAATTGCAGGCAAAGCCATTCTTACACTGTTCTTTATTGCTTATTCAAGGAATTGCAGACAAATCCATTCTTACACAAAATCTTATTGCTTATCCAAGGAATTGCAGGCAAATTCATTCTTTCACTGTTCTTTATTGCTTATCAAAGGAATTGCAGGCAAAGCGAAACTTACTCTGTTCCTTATTTCTTACCCAAAGAATTGCAGGGAAACCATTCTTACTCTGTTCCTTATTGCTTATCCAAGGAATAGCAGGCAAATCAATTCTTACACCTATCCTTATTGCTTACCCAAGGAATTGCAGACAAAGCCATACTTCCACTGTTCCTTATTGCTTATTCAAGGAATTGCAGGGAAGCCATTCTTACACTTTTCCTTATTGCTTATCCTAGGAATTGCAGTGAAACCATACTTACTCTGTTCCTTATTGCTTATCCAAGGAATTGCAGGCAAATCAATTCTTACACCTATCCTTATTGCATATCCAAGGAATTGCAGGGAAAGCCATTCTTACTCTATTCTTTATCGCTTATCAAAGGAATTGCAGGCAAATCCATTGTTACACTGTTCCTTTTTGCTTACCTAAGGAATTGCAGGCATAGCCAAACTTCCACTGTTCTTTATTGCTTATCCAATGAATTGCAGGCAAATCCATGCTTACTCTGTTCCAAATGCTTATCAAAGGAAATCCAGGGAAAGCCATTCTTACTCTGTTCCAAATTGTTATCTAAGGAATTCCAGGTAAAGCCATTCTTACTCTGTTCCTTATTGTTTATCCAAGGAATTGCAGTGCAGGCAAAGCCATTCTTACACTGTTCCTTATTGTTTATCCAAGGAATTGCAGGCAAAGCCATACTTCCACTGTTCCTTATTGCTTATCCAAGGAGTTGCATGCAAATCAATTATTACACTGTTCCTTTTTGCATACCCAAGTTATTGCAGGGAAAGCCATACTCCCATTGTTCCTTATTGCTTATCCAAGGAATTGCAGGCAAATCTATTATTACATTGTTCCTTTTCACTTACCCAAGGAATTGCGAGCAAAGCCATTCTTACACTGTTCCTTATTGCTTATTCTTGGAATTGCATGCAAAGCCATTCTTACTCTGCTCCTTATTGTTTATCCAAGGAATTGCAGGGAAAGCCATTCTTTCACTGTTCCTTATTGCTTATCCAAGGAATTGCAGGCAAATCCATTCTTACACAGAATTTTATTCTTACTCTGTTCCAAATGCTTATCAAAGGAATTCCAGGGAAAGCCATTCTTACTCTGTTCCTAATGGTTATCTAAGGAATTCCAGGTAAATCCATTCTTACACTGTTCCTTATTGCTTATTCAAGGAATTGCAGGCAAAGCCATTCTTACTCTGTTCCATATTGCTTATCTAAGGAATTGCAGGGAAAGCCATTCTTACACTGTTCCTTATTGCTTATTCAAGGAATTGCAGGCAAAGCCATTCTTACTCTGTTCCATATTGCTTATCCAAGGAATTGCAAGCAAAGCCATTCTTACAATGTTTCTTATTACTTATTTTTGGAATTGCATGCAAAGCCATTCTTACTCTGCTCCTTATTGTTTATCCAAGGAATTGCAGACAAAGCCATTCTTACACAGTTCCTTATTGCTTATCCAAGGAATTGCAGACAAAGCCATTCTTTCACTGTTCCTTATTGCTTATCCAAGGAATTGCAGGCAAATCCATTCTTACACAGAATCTTATTGCTTTTTCAAGGAATTGCAGGCAAAGTCATTCTTACACTATTCCTTATTGCTTATCCAAGGAATTACAGGCAAATTCATTCGTTCACAGTTCCTTGTTGCATATCAAAGGAATTGCATGCAAAGCCATTCTTACTCTGTTCCTTATTGCTTATCCAAGGAATTGCAGACAAAGCCATTCTTACACAGTTCCTTATTTCTTATCCAAGGAATTGCAGACAAAGCCATTCTTACACTGTTCTTTATTGCTTATCCAAGGAATTGCAAGGAAAGTCATTTTTTCACTGTTCCTTATTGCTTATCCATTTGTCATTGCTATTATAATGCATCTATAACCATTTCAAATGATAACTATCTCTAAAAGCCTGCTTTTAATTTAAAAAAATGAGTAGAAAAGCTCAAATGTTATAAAATGAATGCAAAAAATTATTTTTTTGGGGGAAATTAAATGAAAGTGCATGAACCTTCTCCCAAAATACTCTCAACCAAACCTGAATAAAGGAAAAGTTGTTTGCCTTGAATTTATTCTGTAAGGTTATAAAAAAATCTTTTTCCTCACATTTGATTTGGCATCACTTTTCATGTAACAATCTGGATAATCCTTAATTATGACGGTTTTAGAACTGGTGGTGGTTTCTGAGAACAGAGAATTTCCAAATTCAGAAGTTGATTTTAGTATGGTTAATGAAAACTTTTAGCAGGAAATAAATCTACCACTGTGATTACTATGGTGATTAGGAATATGAAAGGAATGAAAAGTGAAAAGATTTGTTGTTGTACTTATGATTTCCAAGATTAGAAGCACTGAAGTTTTTGATTTTGAACTTTTCATTTTTAAATCCAATTTTGAAGTGGTTTCTATTAAAGACATTTCTGTTTGTATTTAGCATTCAGAAATTACATAACTCTTAATGTTTTTGAAATTAATAGGTAAAAAATGGACCAATACCTGAAATGTTTTTTTCTTCAAATATTTGATATCAGCTATGAATGCATTTTTCTATTTATATAATTATCATTAGATATACATATAGTATGTATTACCATAGGCATTTAATCACTACAATAATAGCCACTTTCATTACATATGCTTTATTTGTCACTTATACTTCATTTTATATAGTGATAATAAAATTCACTGCTTGGATGATATCATACATTAACATGTAGATTCTAGAACAATGTAATTATCTAAATGCATGACCTTAACCCATTATATATGAAACCTCTTTCATGGAAACAGTTTTAAATCTACATGAGGGATGTTAAATCATTATAACAAGAAATCTTACAAGAAAATTGTAGACATTGTTTACCTTTGTAATATTGTGAACAGGAAATTAAGGTAACATTTGACAGGTGTTTCTTTGGTTTTAGTCAGTTCACATTATGTATAAAACTAATATGTGGGCTGTAAAATTGTTGATATAAATGATAGTTTTGTCCTTGTTACCCCACTGTTTATTGTTGATGGAAAGGGGGTGCTAAAAGAGGAGGAGATGTAGGGTAAATGTTAATGATACAGCAACTTAACAACACAAGTTAATCAAATAGCTAGAGGCACCATTACAGTCTTCATGTGCAAAGTGTTCCTATGCAGTTTTTTCAAGATCAGTATGAAATTGACATTGGTAGAATCCTTAATAATTTATACCTCTAGATATTGAGCTAATTTTTATATTAGTTAAAAATATTAAATATCACTTTGTAAATTATATGTGTCATAAGCGCTTTTCTGGATTTACTTTCATCAGGAACGCTCAAAGCCAAATATTTGAAAGCCAAGGATGATAAGTACTGAAACAAGTGAAGATCTTTATGACTAAAAGGGACCTAAAAATAATAGCCAAATCCATCTAAGGTCAACTGAGGGAGTTGGAACCTTAGTTTCTGAGTTATTTTTAATTGTAAAAAAGAGACAATTTAGAAATGTTTGTTATAAATCATGTTAGTGCTGAAGCACTGATTGTATAATGATGAGTTACAGATTAACTTATGGGATTCCTTTTGGATGTCATCAAAACTGTTCACAGAACTACAGCCCTTAAATTTTTGCAGCAAGCAGGGGAATTTTGTGTTGTCTTGACATATTTATTTTGATCAGCAGTTTCAATAAATCTAAATAAAATAAAAATTAATCGTGTAAAAAATATTGACAGTCATTTGAATAAATTAGTCAGGTAACTTGGGCATTCTATTTTTTTTAAACAATCAGGGTTTGACAGTAATTTGTGAAGTTTTAATGAGCAACATTTCCCTATAGTCAGAAAATGATAGAATGAGGAGAATAAAAAGCTATTTATATTTTGTGTAGTGGAAAGTAAAATAACAAAAATACCAAACTCCAAGGAAAATCCAAAACAGAAAGTCATTATCAAGTGCCAAAATCAAAAGCTCAAATTCATCACATCAAACTAATGGAAAACAACTGTCATATTCCTGACTTGGTACAGACATTTCCTTATTTAGAAAATGGGGGATTAAACCGGGTTTTAAGCTCCACTCAGATTACTGAATTTCAGAGGAAAATTTCTTGATTCTTAAATATTGTTGTATTTAAAAAAAAAAAACCTGATAAAAACGTTAAAAAGTTTTAGCATATCTATTGCATTCGGAATTCATAATTCTGTTTCAGGTCAAATATATCCAGATGGATTTCTTCACATTCAAAATGGTCAAGATGCTTTTCTAGTCAATGTTGGAAAAAATGGCCAAGATGCTTTTCTAGTCAATCAAGCATGTCATCGCATCATATAGAGAAAGAAAATCCCAGAATTGATCTACCAGACATCATCCAAGAACAACAGAGCCCTAGCTCATCATCACCGCTTACATACAGTTATTCAGATGGCTCTCCAACGATTCAATTAGATATTGCCACAGAATTTTGTGTAGAGGTTTTCAAAGAAATAGAACAAAGCAGAATTCAAAATACCCATTCAAACAAGGATTCCAACAATTATTGTGAATTCATTAAAAATGATGCTCCTTCCATAGACATTGAAAAGCAGGTGAACAAAAGTAAAAACAGGGAAATAATTGCATGTGTAAATGTGATTAATGGGGAACGTCAGTTGGGGGATAATTCTATGTCAAACAGGGAATCTTTGAACCATCATGAAGAGAATAAAGATATGACAAAAATTGATAGAGGAACTTTTAGGAATGAAGATTTAAAGGAGAAGTTAGAACATTTAGCTGTATCATCAGATGATATTGTATTATGTGATACCCCTCAGAGTTTGACTGTTGACAGTGGTTATGCTTCCAGACAAGTATCCAAAGATAACTGTTCCTGTTAGTACATATATATGCAGTCATTTAGTTCAAATTCAGAATAAAACCAAATGGTTTAATATTTCTTTTTAGGTTACTGCATCAACTATGCATATACATGCTTTTTGAAACATTTATGTTGTCTTTTTCTCTGACTTTTGAATTGTCAATAGTTGTAAGATGCTTTAAAAGGAAAAATCCATCTAGTTATGTTCTTTTTGTATTTAAAACTTTAATTTCAATTCATTTCATTATAACCGTTTGTTGAAAATGTCGGTTAACACCTGAATTCTAAGTACATGTGTACTGACAATTGGAAAAGTTTTAAGACCTAGATATATAAAGGTTAAATGTGTTTTGTGTTCACTCAAAGACCAACACATTGGAATCTGTTATCATCAAGGTTTCTCAGCCAAATCTTCACTCCATCTTGTTTCGTTTTATTTATAAAGACCAAAGTATAAATTAATTTGAAAAACATTACAAGATAATGAAATCACTGTGCTTTTAGGATATGTTGTATGTATAAAAACAAGACAGACCTTATTTGATGTAAACACATATTCTTTGGATTATATTATGGTGATATAAACACATTTTTCTAATTTTATTGTGATAAGAATCACATAGCAAATATGTTCATGTAATTTTTATATTGTCTGCTTCTCATACAAAAAAGAGTTTATCCAAAATGTTTCTTTCTGAATACTATTATTTACTTTACATTTTCACTGCTAGCTTTTATTTTAACTTACCCAATTGATTGTGTGCAGTTACAGGCATGCAGTTGTTACTGTACAGTGTATCTCTGTGGTGTACTGTAAATTGCTACTAGATCTGAGTAACTTTTGATGCCATTTAATATTCAATATATGAGTGTAAAACAAATCACCATAATTTTTTTATTATAAAAAATTTAAAACTGGATGTATCAATTTATTTTTATAGGAATTGACCAATGGTTTACAAACTGTAGTGCTTTGTATATTGTTTAGTTGTACAAATTTATTGTTGTATATTTTATTTTTTAAATTTATGCTATCGAGTGCAATTATCATTATTATTATTATTGTTTTATGTTGTATTCTGTATTTTAGTTTCAATTTTTATTGCAAGTTTGTTTTTTGTTTTTTTGTTTTGTTTTGTTTTGTTTTTTTTACTGTGAACAACTTTTATATATTTCCAACAAATTTGACAATTTCTAATCTGTTGATGAAACATCTTCCTAAGATCACAATTTTAATGAAAACTCAGTAATATTTTTTGTCTGCCTATTTTTTGACATGCAGTGATATATAGACAGGTTATCTCATACCATTTCTAGAAGACAGGAGTTGGTTCTTTACTCCTTTCATTTAGAAGATTTCACATAGGTGTTATACTCCTTTGATATTAGGTAATTTTTTCTTGACCTATGGTCTAATATTTTAATAGATAACTGTGAAAATTTTTGCCCACTTAATTTAGACTGAATGCCCTTTTGTCCCTTGACATTGTATATCATAAAATTTGAAAGGCATTTGACACCAATGATGCAACTAAAAAATTGTCAAACCACACTGTCTTTAATAAAAAATTGTCAAACCACACTGTCTTTAATAAAAAATTGTCAAACCACACTGTCTTTAATAAAACATTGTCAAACCACACTGTCTTTAATAAAACATTGTCAAACCACACTGTCTTTAATAAAATATTGTCCAACCACACTGTCTTTAATAATCAAACCACACTGTCTTTAATAAAAAGTTGTCAAACCACACTGTCTTTAATAAAAAGTTGTCAAACCACACTGTCTTTAATAAAAAATTGTCAAACCACACTGTCTTTAATAAAAAAATTGTCAAACCACACTGTCTTTAATAAAAAATTGTCAAACCACACTGTCTTTAATAAAACATTTTCAAACCACACTGTCTTTAATAAAACATTGTCAAACCACACTGTCTTTAATAAAATATTGTCAAACCACACTGTCTTTAATAATCAAACCACACTGTCTTTAATAAAAAGTTGTCAAACCACACTGTCTTTAATAAAAAGTTGTCAAACCACACTGTCTTTAATAAGAAATTGTCAAACCACACTGTCTTTAATAAAAAATTGTCAAACCACACTGTCTTTAATAAAAAGTAAATAGTTTGAATCAAGGGACAGTAACAGCAAGAAATAAACATAACTATCACAGGTCAGAGGGAGTTTAAAAACCCAAGAACATGTTAAATTTAAGCCCATAGTTAATGTGTGTGTCCTAGAGCAAGTTCTGGGCTATCATTATCTTATCGTACTGTAAATTTCACCAAATTTTGCATGCATTTTTTAATATGATTGTTGATCATAGCACTAAAATACCAAAGTAATTTAAGTGATTTCAGGAAAGATCCCTACAAACAATGCTTTTAGAATTATAAACTGGGTGTTCTGATTAATATTGTTCCAATTCCATCCCTTAATTTTAGTTAAGTCTCCCAAACGAAGTTTGGAAAGACTTATTGTTTTTGCTCAGTTCTTATTATTATTATTATTATTCTTCTTCTTCTTCTTCTTCCGCCACTTTTAAATTTGAACTTGTCCGCACCTGTTCTCCAAAACCGCTTGTCAGATTAACTTAGGGTTTCACAATATGTTAGACTAACATGTCTAGTGGTGCAATCAGGGTTTTGTTTGTGCAATGGGGTTTATAAAGGAGTACTTTGAGGGGCAAAAAGAAAAGAGGGTTTTACTAAAGAACCCTATGGGATTTTATTTTTTAAAATTTTCAAATGATTATAAATTGAAAAACCGTTTGTGATAGACACAATCTTTTTAATTGAAAATGTTCTAATTGATAAAGCCCATTAAATGAAATACAGGGTTAGTCCCCAGGGGTCACCCCCACCCCCTGCCATTTAAGAAAGTTCTAATACCTTGTAAGTGGTCAAGATCCCCACCCCTAAACCATATATATTTTGGTTTGTTATGCTAAGATGGTTTGAATGATATACAGGATTAGTCCCCAGGGGTCATCCCGACCCCCCTGCCATTTGAGAAAGTTCTAATATCTTGTAAATGGTCGAGATCCCCACCCCTACACTATATGTATTCTGGTTTGTCATGATAAAGCACATCAAATGTAATACAGGGTTAGTCCCCAGGGGTCACCCCCACCCCCTGCCATTTAAGAAGGTTCTAATATCTTCTAAGTGGTCAAGATCCCCACCCCTAAACCATATATATTCTGGTTTGTCATGCTAAGATGGTTTGAATGATATACAGGGTTAGTCCCCAGGGGTCATCCCGACCCCCTGCCATTTGAGAAAGTTCTAATATCTTGTAAATGGTCGAATTCCCAACCCCTAAACCATATATATTCTGGTTTGCCATGATAAAGCACATCAAATGAAATACAGGGTTAGTCCCCAGGGGTCACCCCCACCCCCTGCCATTTAAGAAAGTTCTAATATCTTCTAAGTGGTCAAGATCCCCACCCCTAAACCATATATATTCTGGTTTGTCATGCTAAGATGGTTTGAATGATATACAGGGTTAGTCCCTAGGGGTCATCCCTACCCCCTGCCATTTGAGAAAGTTCTAATATCTTGTAAATGGTTGAAATCCCCACCCCTAAACCATATATATATTCCTATTTGTCATGTCTCGAACATTTGAATGACGTATACGGTCAGTCCCCAGGGGTTCCCCCCACCCCCAATGTTCTAATATCTTGTAAATGGTTGAGATCCCCACCCATAAACCATATATATTCCTGTTCGTCATGTAATGAACATTTGAATGACGTATAGGGCCAGTCCCTAGGGGTTCCTCCCCACCCCCAAAGTTCTAGTATCTTGTAAATGGTTGAGATCCCCACCCCTAAACCATATATATTCTGGTTTTTCATGCCAAGATGATTTGAATGATATACAAGGTTAGTCCCCAGGCATCACTAATGCATATAACTTTACTGGACCAAACCAATTTTCACTGGACGTTGCCCAATGTCAGGCGACCTTGGGAATTACGAATTATGGGAGTTTCGTTTGGGAGACTTCGTAACAGCATCCTGTTACAATCATTTCTTGTTGTAATAAAATTTGTGAATATTGTTGAATTTACAAATTTTTTTTTTTATTTAATATTATTCAATAAAATTAAGCTGTTTGTTTGTTTCTTCTTAAACCTTATATTTTGTATATAGGGTAGGAAGGGATGTTTTCTTCTGAATATCACTTTTTTATTTGATTGGGTAAGGGGCTGTTTTAAAATTTACCTTACAGTTTGTATACTGCCTTTGCTCATTCTTGAAGACAATGTTGTGATTTATGGATGTACATTTTTTTCTTTTTTGGATATATGTCATATTTACAATCAGTTACATTACATGCAGTACCTTATTATTTAGTTTCCATGTGAAATGTTGATGAATGTTCTACCTAACTAAATCACAGTATACATGTATAGCGGGTAAAATTATTGACTTGGGTAATACTTTCTTCATCTATGTTTATATGTGTTCTTTTTATGTATAATGTTATGACATTGTCATTGATGATTGATTTGTGGGTTATGGCCCAAATCATTTAGGAATTAGGGGCAAAAAACTAGGATTTTTTGTTTTCAGGACAATTACTTTGGTATAAGTTTGTGGATCTCTATGAAATTGTACGAAAAGGTTCCATACAAAAAAAGGAAGGTTGGGATTGATTGTGGGGGTTATGGCCCTAATCTAACCATGTATTTAGTTTTTGGATTTTGAGTCCGGTTTTCAAGTTGGTCCACTGGTCCAAAATTTAATTTTGTTTGATTTTGACAAAAAAAATAATTCAAGGGGTTCTTTGATATGCTGAATCTAAACATGTATTTAGATTTAAGATTTTTGATTTTAAGATTTTTGATTTTTAGATTTTTGATTTTTGATTTTTGATTTTGGGCCCAGTTTTCAAGTTGGTCCAAATCAGGGTCCAAAATTAAACTTTGTTTGATTTCAACTAAAATTGAATATATGGGGTTCTTTGATATGCTGAATGTATTTAGATTTTGGATATTGGACCATAATAGGTAAATGTCTAATTTCAAATTTTTAAGTTTCTTAGACCACATTCATTCTGTGTCAGGAACCTATGCTATGTCAAATAGTTAATCACAATCCAAATTCAGAGCTGTATTAAACAATTAATAGAAATAATACGATTCATAGTTCAGAATAGATCTAGCTTCAAATTCAAATTTTAGAGAAGAAATTATGCATAAATATAGTTTGAAATTTGAGTTGAATATTGGCTTTCAGAAGTATAAAAATAAAATTGTTGGTATATGAAGTAATTATTTCCTGATCACTTCTAACTGCAGTTCTCCATGGCTTCAAAACAGCTTGTTTCAAATCATAACTTTATAGTTGTCAAATTCATTATGTGGTCAAATGACCATTAGGAAAAGGCAGTAAGTGTAAGTGTATAACCAGATAATTTGTGTAGGAGAGAAATAAGATCTTATCATGACTTACAAATATCTTATGTAATGTAAAGCCTCTTTTTATGAAATCGTGGTGGTTTGTCTCTCTACCTTTAGGTTGGACTACTCATTTACATGCCAAGCATTTATTTTTGAAATTATGTGTGATGCAGAACTTTACTGTAATACAGAATGTATTTGAAAATGCAAAATATTAAATGAATTAATTTTTTGTCATGAATGGTAGAATAGAAGGCTATTTTAAATAGTTCAGAAGTTTTATTTACCTATTTATTTATTTTTTATTTTTAAATTGCAGCAATTTACTGTTGTTTTTATTTTATTCTGATATTAACAGTTGTTACTATATTCACAATAAAAACGAACGTTAGTTACTTGGTGTTGTTTCTTTTCCTACTTGCAGTCAATTAAATTTTGCAGAAAGGATAAACAAAAGGCTTTTTTTTTCTTTCCAAGACTATGGTTTCATTATTATCAGTTGTTACATTTTGCTTTTCAATCTATAAGATAAATACTGGTATAGAATTTTAACTTTACAATGTTTCTAAATGTAAATGTAATTCATTTGTACCTTGCTTAGAAACTTTTTAGAATTCAAGGCTTTGATGAGTACTTCTCTCCTTTCCAAGCAATGTACAATAAGATTTAAGCTTTGGGAAAATGTATGATTGTCAGCTTCATACTACAACTCTTATAACTGTTCCAAACGAAATATTTGGGGTAAAAATCAACAATAATGAATTTGAAGGAGACAACATAAAAATTCTGTTAACCTGCAAATTTATATTACACCAAAGAACTCTATGGAAACCAGGTATCAATTTCACAAACAAGGCTTAATATGCTCTTATATGGTCAGTGACTGTTTGAACAAAAGTTGTATGGTCAATGCATTTAGAATGTGCAAATAGCATAGTTGCAGTAAAAGAAAAGTATTTATTTACAAATTCATCATGATCTTCAGAAAAATGAATATTGGTTTAGTGCAGTCATTAGGCATATAGGTATTATATAATGGAGAAAAATGAATATTGGTTTAGTGCAGTCATTAGGCATATAAGTATTATATAATGGAGAAAAATGAATATTGGTTTAGTGCAGTCATTAGGCATATAGGTATTATATAATGGAGAAAAATGAATATTGGTTTAGTGCAGTCATTAGGCATATAGGTATTATATAATGGAGAAAAATGAATATTGGTTTAGTGCAGTCATTAGACATATAGGTATTATATAATGGAGAAAAATATACAGATGGAATTTCTTAGCTTTTTCTTAACATAACTAGTTTTAGAGTCAGTTTTAAAGTTTGTTTCGAAATATCCAATTATTTTCTTATTCTATGCTGACTATGTCGTAAAAAATGCTCTCTGTTAGGATCATGATTAAACATAAATATTTGTGATAAAATGAACAACATGTCTTTCTTGGAAAAAAATGTTTACTGTTAGGATCTACATTTTGTCTTTTTACTTTATGAGTACATGTACTGTGAATTTCATGGATTTCATGGATAGGGAGAAACTAGAATTTAAAGTTAACATTATCAATATTCCATGAAAATGAGGTCAAGGTCAGATGGACACTGTTGAAGGCTGTACGGTGACCTTTAGTTGTTAATTTCTATGTCATTTGGTCTCTTGTGGAGAGTTGTCTCATTGGCCATCATACCACATCTTCTTATTTTTATATTTACCTTTTAAACTTAACCCTGACAAATGAACCATGAACATGAAGTTGTGGTCCCATTAACCCCAGGAGACAGACATGTAGTCAGAGATTGCTTTGACGTCTGATGGCCGTCAGATGTCAGAGAAGCATCACATATGTACACCTGAAAATTATTCCATACACCAAATATAGAAGACCTATTGCTTGAAGTACCTGAGAAAAATTTTTAGGAGGACTTTGGAACTTTGCAACAATGATATTTAAAAAGTAGGGAGATACCGAGGGGAATTAAAAAACCACAAGTTGAAAAGAGACAGAAAACTACAAAGTCCAAAAGAAAAAAGTGAACAGTCCACAAAACACTACACAGAAAAGTAAAAATTGAGTAACAGGAACCTTACCAAATCCTATTCCACCAATCACACATGTCAGGTTACTGATATTAAAGTCCTGGAAGTTATAATCAGTCATGCCATACCATATAAACCATGAAATGCAGGTCAGGTTCTATTTTCTCTTTTCCTTGAATTATCACTCTCAAGTCATGTCCTTGGAATTGAATCCAAAGAGTAAAACCTTTTTCAGATCATTCTTGTACTTGTAAAGATAAGCTTGTTGTCGAGCCTGCGACTTTTGTCGCAGAAAGCTCGACATAGGGATAGTGATCCGGCGGCGGCGTTAGCTAACTTCTTAAAAGCTTTATATTTTAGAAGGTGGAAGATCTGGATGCTTCATACTTTGTATATGGATGCCTCATGTTATGAAGTTTCTGTCAGTCACATGTCCAATGTCCTTGACCTCATTTTCATAGTTCAGTGACTACTTGAAAAAAAAGTTAAGATTTTTTGTAATGTTAAATTCTCTCTTATTATAAGTAATAGGATAACTATATTTGGTATGTACGTACCTTGCAAGGTCCTCATGCAAGTCAGACAGTTTTCACTTGACCTCAACCTCATTTCATGGATCAGTGAACAAGGTTAAGTTTTGGTGGTCAGGTCCATATCTCAGATACTATAAGCAATAGGTCTAGTATATTCGGTGTATGGAAGGACTGTAAGGTGTACATGTCCAGCTGGCAGGTGTCATCTGACCTTGACCTCATTTTCATGTTTCAGTGGTTATAGTTAAGTTTTTGTGCTTTGGTCTGTTTTTCTGATACTGTATGCAATAGGTCTACTATATTTGGTGTATGGAATGATTGTAAGGTGTACATGTCTAGCTGGCAGGTGTCATCTGACCTTGACCTCATTTTCATGGTTCAGTGGTCAAAGTTAAGTTTTTGAGTTTTGGTCTTTTTTTCTAATACTATATGCAATAGTTCAACTATATTTGGTGTATGGAAATATTTTATGATCTATATGTCAGTCACGCAGGTTTTATTTGACCTTGACCTCATTTTCAAGGTTCATTGCTCAGTGTTAAGTGTTTGTGTTTTGGTCTGTTTTACTTAAACTATAAGCAATAGGTCAACTATATTTGTTGTATGGAAGAATTGTTAGCTGTACGTGCCTGCCTAGCATGGTTCATCTGACCTTGACCTCACGTTCATGGTTCATTGGTCAATGTTTAGTTTACTTGGTTAATGTTAAGTTTATGTGACAGTTGTAATAAAGCTTTATATTTAGGACTATCAACATACTATCAATGATTAGTAAAGAAGGCGAGACATTTCAGCGTGTGCACTCTTGTTTTTTATAAGTTTTCAACATTACTACATAACCAAGAAACACTGGTGATTTCAGTGAACATTCCAGTATTATTTCTGTCCATACGTCCCGAAATTGGTTTCCGTTCTCTAACTTTAGCTTGCCTCAACCAAATGTTATGAAACTTGTACACAACGCTTATTACCACAAAACTCAGATCAAGGTTGAATTTGGGTGGGGGTAACTTTTACATTTCTCTAGTTATGTCCCTTTATAACGTTATATGCAAGCGGGGGCATCATCTGAGTTCCATGGACAGTTATGTCCCTTAATAATGTTATATGCAAGTGGGGTAATCGTCTGTGTTCCATGGACACATTCTCCATTTATTTTATATAAATTCAGAAAAAAATGGTATCTGGGTGATAACTCTAGCTTGCTTTAGTAGCCCAGGCTTTACTTCATACTCTGGAACTACAAAACAGGCTTTTATCAAGTTTGCTGTTGTGTCACTGTGCTGTTTGTCCTTGATTCTTGCTCATGAGATATAAGGAAACAACGTCCAAATTAAATATTTATTATGATATACAAGTCCAATTTTAATGTTTTTGTCATGTCTGTGATGAATGACATGTATAGGGATTTATTTTTCTGGCATCAACATTGTCATCAGCACATAACACATCTTGTTAAAGATTTTTTTTATTAGTTTCCATAACAGAATAAGTAATTTATTTATGATAGACCATTGGTATTTGGTATACAATAGCATCAGAATCCATGAATATCAGTTGCATACAATATTTGAGCCCCCATGTCATGCTCCAGTGACTTCAATTATTAAATAAGTTTACTGGTTTTAAAAATCAGTTATGAAGAATTTATAGGGTCAAAGATCACTTGAAATGCAATCAAACTCTATCACTGGCTTGATACTATATTTTCAAGGCCTCATTACTGCCTTTGAGAGCACAAACAACATAGTGCAGTGAGGTAAACATTCATTATAGATCCTTAATTTATTAAGGATACATACTCAGATATTCAAGTTATAAAATGATGATGTTAAGTTATGGGGTTATTTGGTTTTTTGCTTGTGATAGAATGGTCTACGTTTACAGTCTCTGGTGGAAAGTTGTCTCATTGGCAATCATACCACATCATTTTTATACTATCAAGAAAACTTTTGTTAATAAAAATTAATACAAAAGTTTTGCATGGTGTATGCATTTATACGTTCTAAAAACAGGTTCAACTATAATTATTGACTTTAGGAAGATAACTCCAATTCAAAATATTGCCACAATTTTAAGTTTAGAATGAAAGCAATCTTTATCCTGTAGTGTTCCAATTAACACTATGATTTTAAAATACTATTGATTTGTGGTATGATGTTGCATTAGCATCCATATACATGTACAACAGAATTGTCAAGAATATGAGGCTTAGCTTAAATACCTTATGCTTTACTGACTTTGACATTTTTATATTGTTCCATCTTTATTGTTTTCTGATGATGAGTGTTTATAAGAAAGTATTTAATATATACCATTCAAATTTGGATAATTGTTGGATTATCATCCATGCAGGTTAGTTTCAATGAGAATGTTAGGCTTTGCTTGAATTGGAAAAAAGCAAGTTGAAGCAAAATTCACAGCATTACCAATTATATGGATTGTTCATAATATAATAAAAAATTTGAAACAAGAGGTGTTGATAAAAATCCTAATGTTAGAAAAAAGATCCTACATAAGACTTAGTTTCAGTGTTATATTACTTATAATACTATTTACGTCTTTCTTTTTCAGCCCAGAACGACGAGCAGATTATGTTCTTACTGACTATCACAGGGTGAACTACTTACACAACAAAATGGAAAAGGGGGAGAAATACAAACGCAGAAAGAAGTCCAGACAAGATAAGGAGGCTGAGAGGTCCAGTAATAATAACATAGAAGACCATAGTAACCATACCATGTCACTTCCAGCAATATCTACCATCCATGGGACCTCAGGGGCATCGGCAAGAGCAGGCTATGATGAACTATCAAAA